TTTCGATCGTTTGAATCTTCCTAGTCTTTAAAATTCTGACTATTACTTTTGATCACAAGTGCAGTAACTTGCATTAACATTCGGGAAACTTTTAAAACAAAATTACTATCTTGAAAGTGGTTGAAATGCCATGTATTTTTTTTGAGGTGTTAGAGAAACTAGGTCGCTAGACAAAAAACGCATTTTTTAACTTTTCTGTCTGAGCTTATAACGAAAATTTAAACAAAGCGTTTTATAAATATATTATATATAATATTATATTATAATATATATATATAATATTATTATAATATATATTATATATAATATATTATATACTTTATTATTCTCTATAACCTAAATGCGTATTATCTGGATCAAAATCAACTCCAAATTAATTACAGAAAAAAGTTATATAATACAATATAGATAATTTTGCTCTGCAATAATAATAATAATAATAATAATAATAATAATAATAGATAAAAATCAATCGTTCACAACAACCTCCAAATAACCGCAGTTCACAAAATCTAAGTCAAACAATACTTCGCCCAATAATCCCAAAACATAGAGCACAAGGAAAAAAAAAATATAGTAAAAAAGTAAAATACGTAAAAAATTACTCTTTCTGGCCATGATACTGCACCGTTGCGTCGCATCACAGAGTCGCGAGGCAATCCCGAGGTTTTTCCGACGCGATCCGCGGCGCGCGCTATACTTTCCGAAAAACGAAAGAACTTCGGATTTCCGGGGCCCACGAAAGTTGGCAGATCCTTTAATGATCGTTTCAGCGGAACGGTACCGGTGGTCCGACGCGACGGCGGCCGAAGCTGAAGAGAAGACGAGGAGGCCGGCTGAAAAAGCGAGCCAGTCGGTCAAGGCTCCGCGGCAAGTAGCCAAGAGTCGCGCGGTCGAAAACTAATCTATCCCACACCTCGGCCAGCAGCCACAACTCGGCGAAAAACAAAATTCGAAATAGCCTGCTAAACAACGCTTTTAATGCGGTGCCACTAAAGCCTCCGAGAGATTGGCCGGCCTCCGCGAGGGCCGCCTCTGTCTACCGAAATCGGACCACCTGCTGATTGAGAATTACCTGAAACCGATGCGCCGTTTGATACAACGGCCGCCGCGATCCGATCCGTACGCGAATCTGCCCCTGCCGATCTACCCCATTGTCGCCGATTGGTCGCGAAAACAACGAGCTTAACCCTTAAATGTATTATTTTTTGTCTTGAATTTTAAAAGATCGTTTTTTTTTTATAGGAATGTAGTCATAGGTTACGTAAAAAATAAATAAAAAGATCTAGGCGATAATATTGAGTATTTATTTTGAAAAAAAGTTGTATGTAGACTTTTGGCAACAATATGCGTTTATTGCTCAAATTATTGTAGACGTAAACAAACGGTCATGTATTTATGTTATCTGTTGGTATAGGAATTTTCACATTATTTATAAATGAAATACAGCGAAGCAATTGCGATTTTTGTTGTGACACAAAGCAATTAGATAAACCACTCCTTTATAGGAAATACGAGGAAAGAAAATATCTCTCCAAGTAACACATTGAAGGTTATCACCCACCACGTTCAAATGTCAAAAAACATATAACTTACTCGCCAAAAGTAATGTCAGGTCTTTTATTTCACACACATGGTCTATTGTCTATTGTTATCAACGTGTGTTCGGAAGCGCACATACTCAGGTATTGGAATCAAATTAAGTGGAACTGGAATGTAGACAATTGGCAACAATATGCATTTAAGGGTTAAGGTAAATTATTTAATTATTAAATATATAATATTAAATTAATAATAATAATATTTAATAATATATAATTATTAACTATAATTAAGTGTAAATTGCGATTTCGTTTAACTTTCTTTAGGATTTTTCTTGTGAAGCACAACTATGAAGCAACCTTCTGCAGTCGCGTTTGTCCGGTAACTTTTACAAACTTTTGTTTCAAAAAATGTTAAAATTGTTGGCATTGACTTTGAAATATTTTGGAACATTTATTTATTTATTTATTCATTTATTCGGTAAAGTTAACGGGAGAACCTTTTGTTACATAAGGAAAAGAAGTGGAAAATATGAACCCTTTGCACTCGAGTGGTGACTCTGAGGCACCACTAAAATTGTTATAGCATACTCCAAGATAATTTTTATATTGACAAAGTTTACATTTAAGATATTGTTAAATGTGTAACTGTTGCACGAGTCACCACAAGACTCAATTTCATATGCATAAAATGCACTTTGTCATATAAAATGGAAATACTATAAGTCAGAAAAATGATTTTAGGTTTGCAGTTAAAATAGCTTCGAGTGCAAAGGATTAAAAGAATTATTAGACTTACAAGGAATGGTCCCCAGGGTTGACGGTTACTTTCTATGAGATTTGGTACGGTGATAGAGCTTGAAAAGCTGAATCCAATGATATGTGATTTTTGGGGCAGATGGCTTATAGTTTTCGAGATATAAAATGTTGAAGTTACTAATAAAAGGGCAGAAAGACGCGGTGAATCGCGACGTATGGCCTCGCGCGGCTGGAAGTGGAGGGGGGGGGGGAAGGGTGCCTCGCACCTCTCCTTGTTAGACTAAGAGCCAGTGTTAAAGACTAGATCTAAGACTGTTAAAGTGTTAAGATAAGTGATGAACAGCACGATAATAGAGGTTTTGAATGAGATGAAAAAACTATTAATGAACTATTAACCATTTTATATGACAAAGTGCATTTTATGAATATGAAATTGAGTCTTGTGGTGACTCGTGCAACAGTTACACATTTAACAATATCTTAAATGTAAACTTTGTCAATATAAAAATTATCTTGGAGTATGCTATAACAATTTTAGTGGTGCCTCAGAGTCACCACTCGAGTGCAAAGGGTTCATATTTTCCACTTCCTTTCCTTATGTAACAAAAGGTTCTCCCGTTAACTTGCAATAAAGGTAACAGTTTATAATTTGGCGCTTTAAACGATTGAAACAATCGTAGGAGAAATAAAAGAACGTGATTTTTAATGCGCGGAGCATGCGTGTAAAAGCGTAGCAGACGCAGAATATCTAGAGAGGAAAATTCTAGAGAAAACATTCCACAGAAAATTCTAGGAAAATTTTAAGAAGATCGTACGATGATGACCATGATTGCGGTTATTTTGTTAATCTCAAATGAAAAAAACGTGTAAGATTCTTAATTAATATGACTTTGACGATAGCAGATACTGGAACAAAAGAAAAATGTGGCGGCATTTCGACATGATCGATTTTTCCTGTGTTCATTTTACAATATACCTTCTGATATAATTAAACTTATCATACTGCTCAAAATAATAGACCGCGAATTTTTATTTTGAAATTGTTGTAATTGTAAAGACTTTTTATATGCTTACGAAGCAACACACGCTGGTCAATTTGAATGCCACATGGCTCTTGTGGAATCGAAAAAACATCCACGCCGCAACGTTTTAATAATTCTTGAGCTGCGAGCTGCGATTGCTAACTAATTACAATCGATAGAACTTTGTATTCGGTTTAATGGTAGTTAATGATTGATGTAATGTGCTCGAGTTTGTGCAAGCTAAACTAGTTCTTCAACTAAAGTTCAAGGTCCGCGCGACTCTTATTGAATGGTAATTTTCTAGCACTACTATTTTCTAGTACTAATAACTGTTATGTTTTAACCGTTCTCTGCATCCATTCGGCAAAAACAAACTGTATTGTTAACAGTTCATTATTATAGCAGGTAATTACTATAACGACATTTAATGATACAAATGTAGAAACAAATGATCTTTATGCATTTTCCCAGAAGGCTGTCGATGACATAAGAATGAACTTTTTCAGTACATGCTACCTTAAATTACAAAGAAACATTATTTTAGCTGCACTTGTTTATTTATTTATCAGACAGTGATCGTGTATGATCGCGTCAAGCGTTTGCACTGAAAGTATATCAGCTTCAAATGGAAGAGAAAAATTAACAATTTATAATTCTTAGCAGAAACGAGTTATTTTCATCAGGAAACGCGACTCGAAGTGCTTTTAGAAAAATGTTACATAGCAACCTGACTCTGAACAGAAAAAATAAACTGAAAGACGTCATAATTAATCATATTTCTTTATCGAACAACGTTGCGCTCGAGCGCAAATGCTTTAACACAAATTTAGACGTTACAAATACCATCTTGATAAACAAATACAGTAGAACTTCATTTACACGAAGTCGGCAGGAGACAACCAATTCGTACGACCGGGTTAGCCACTTTTTCGTTCAATTTTTCGTTCAAATAACCAAAGAGCTCGCGTCGAGATAAATGGATTTAACCCTAGAAAGATAACCATATGACAACGTACGTAAAAGATAACCATACGCTTCAGAGGCGCATGCTTTTCTAAGGCGTCAATTTTATACTAACAATGGATATTTATTTAAGTTAATCTAGTCATTTTAAAGGTTTGGCATTATTGTAAAAATAAAATGCATTTATATTATATTTTTTTATATTTTAAGTAATTTTAAACTTAAATCACTAGACCTCTATGAAAAATTAACAAAAATCAACAGTCTTCGCAGGCGCCTCTACGACGTAGGTTATCTTTCTCGGGTTAAACAAAGAAAAGAAAACGTGCCGAGTTTACTTAGCGAGCGTTACTTATAAGTCCAGTAAATCCGGGCATTGCCTAAAAATTCATTCCAATAAATAAAGATCAGATAAGCGCAGTTCTGCTGGCACTAACGCACTACCGATCGTGATTAAAAAGTTCTTCCAGTCACGGCGTTCAAGGAGCGAATTCTCTGAGACAAGAATTCGATACTTTTCAATACATTTAACGGGCAACGCGCTCGATTTTTACCGAGCTCGCGTTTCGCCCGTTCCCCGTGCTGCCATGGTAGGCCTTGTTAGCGATAGCAACAATCTCCCGGCGAATAGTTCTGGTTGCGCAAACAAGCTGGCACGATCAGCACGCGATTAACCCTACCGTTCCACGATTTAGTAGTATAATTTAATCGGGCCATGTGCAATTACCTAGGTACCTCCAGGCTGACCCCGAGGAATTGCAAAACGGCCCGGCACGCTACCCGATGATCTGCAACATATGATCTCGTCGGATCGTGGCGGGAATCGAGAAAACAAGGAACTCGTTACACGACCGCCGTCGGAGGCTGTTTGCAACTATGTTACCCATCCGGAGAACGATGCTGGGAGAGGGCCCGCGGTCCCGTAGACGTTGAGCCTCTCAGGATCACGTCGGTTCAAGGTCACCGATCGAGTTCACAGCCCACCGTTCCCCGCGGTGAAAAATATAAAAGGAAGAAAAACAGGGGGGGAGGGGTGCGGGCGGAAAGAGGAGAAAGAGCGAGGGAGCAAGTGAAAAGAAAGAGGAGAACGATGGCGGATGATCGATGGTGAGAATCGGTTGGACCAGTCACTGTGGCTTCGTACAGGAGAAGACATCAGCTCGCGGAGGAGGTGCCAGGGCTCTACATTCGACGCCTCACGCTCGAGGACCCCAGGAGAGCGCGGGAACCCTCGAGTTCAAGGTCACAGTCACCGGCACGCCATATCTGTCATCCTGCCGCCGGTTACGTACCCTCCTCCAGGAGATCCTCGAGGTATTCTCTTTCTCCGTCTCTCGCGAACCAAACGAACGCGCGCAGTCTCGCTGTTCTGTCGCAAACGTGCGAACCGTTCGATCCGTCGGAACCGTTAATTTATATTGGGTTGGCAACTAAGTAATTGCCGATTTCAGTTATACATGTCTCTCACTCCCACTTTTATGATATCCGTAAATGTTATATTATAAAATTATTATTATTATTATGTTATTTTTTATTACTGTCTCTTATACACATCTAGATGTGTATAAGAGACAGCTTTTTACGAGCGTGGAATTTTCAAGTTGTCAGAGAGATGGCAAAAGGTCGTCGAACAAAATGGAAAATACATTACGGATTAAACTTCGTTCCAATTAAAAAACAATTTTTTATTTCATTGAACGAGTCGACAATTACTTAGTTGCCAACCCAATAATTATATATAATATAGATGTGTATAAGAGACAGCTTTTTACGAGCGTGGAATTTTCAAGTTGTCAGAGAGATGGCAAAAGGTCGTCGAACAAAATGGAAAATACATTACGGATTAAACTTCGTTCCAATTAAAAAACAATTTTTTATTTCATTGAACGAGTCGACAATTACTTAGTTGCCAACCCAATAATTATATATAATATAGATGTGTATAAGAGACAGCTTTTTACGAGCGTGGAATTTTCAAGTTGTCAGAGAGATGGCAAAAGGTCGTCGAACAAAATGGAAAATACATTACGGATTAAACTTCGTTCCAATTAAAAAACAATTTTTTATTTCATTGAACGAGTCGACAATTACTTAGTTGCCAACCCAATAATTATATATAATATAGATGTGTATAAGAGACAGCTTTTTACGAGCGTGGAATTTTCAAGTTGTCAGAGAGATGGCAAAAGGTCGTCGAACAAAATGGAAAATACATTACGGATTAAACTTCGTTCCAATTAAAAAACAATTTTTTATTTCATTGAACGAGTCGACAATTACTTAGTTGCCAACCCAATAATTATATATAATATAGATGTGTATAAGAGACAGCTTTTTACGAGCGTGGAATTTTCAAGTTGTCAGAGAGATGGCAAAAGGTCGTCGAACAAAATGGAAAATACATTACGGATTAAACTTCGTTCCAATTAAAAAACAATTTTTTATTTCATTGAACGAGTCGACAATTACTTAGTTGCCAACCCAATAATTATATATAATATAGATGTGTATAAGAGACAGCTTTTTACGAGCGTGGAATTTTCAAGTTGTCAGAGAGATGGCAAAAGGTCGTCGAACAAAATGGAAAATACATTACGGATTAAACTTCGTTCCAATTAAAAAACAATTTTTTATTTCATTGAACGAGTCGACAATTACTTAGTTGCCAACCCAATAATTATATATAATATAGATGTGTATAAGAGACAGCTTTTTACGAGCGTGGAATTTTCAAGTTGTCAGAGAGATGGCAAAAGGTCGTCGAACAAAATGGAAAATACATTACGGATTAAACTTCGTTCCAATTAAAAAACAATTTTTTATTTCATTGAACGAGTCGACAATTACTTAGTTGCCAACCCAATAATTATATATAATATAGATGTGTATAAGAGACAGCTTTTTACGAGCGTGGAATTTTCAAGTTGTCAGAGAGATGGCAAAAGGTCGTCGAACAAAATGGAAAATACATTACGGATTAAACTTCGTTCCAATTAAAAAACAATTTTTTATTTCATTGAACGAGTCGACAATTACTTAGTTGCCAACCCAATAATTATATATAATATAGATGTGTATAAGAGACAGCTTTTTACGAGCGTGGAATTTTCAAGTTGTCAGAGAGATGGCAAAAGGTCGTCGAACAAAATGGAAAATACATTACGGATTAAACTTCGTTCCAATTAAAAAACAATTTTTTATTTCATTGAACGAGTCGACAATTACTTAGTTGCCAACCCAATAATTATATATAATATAGATGTGTATAAGAGACAGCCTCATAATTTTGTCCATTGATTGTAATCGAGTTTATAAGATTGTAACCCATATATCTGTCTCTTATACACATCTAGATGTGTATAAGAGACAGCTTTTTACGAGCGTGGAATTTTCAAGTTGTCAGAGAGATGGCAAAAGGTCGTCGAACAAAATGGAAAATACATTACGGATTAAACTTCGTTCCAATTAAAAAACAATTTTTTATTTCATTGAACGAGTCGACAATTACTTAGTTGCCAACCCAATATTTTGTTCGCATAACTGCTGTTGCTGTTTCTATAAAATCTTGTCTCTAGCAAAAATGTAATTTGTATTATTTGACTTATCGAATATTCCTCGCGGGGTCTTACGCTGCCTACGAATCGACGATGTCGTTCGAGCAAGAGAAGTATAGTAATATTAGGTTGGCGCATATGAAATGTCGAATTTTCTTTACATGCGAACGTTTGTCTTCATTACGCATTTGTTTCTGGCGTAACCTCGTTTATAGTTGTACTGTTCATAGTGCAAAACAATTGCGAAATTAAATGGATTAAAATACGAAATTTTGCAGCACCCAGCTTATTCGCCGGATCTTTCGCCAACCGACTTTCATCTTTTTAAACATTTAGAACAATTTTTACGGGCTAAACAGTATGAAAATGAAGATAGTCTGAAAAATTCCATATACGAGTTTGTTGATTCTATCGTCAATTACTTAGTTGCCAACCCAATATTTTACATTATACGCAATATGATCGTGAACGTAAAATCAGAAAGCATACGAACAGATCGTATAGGAAACGAGCGCGAAATCTTCGAAAGACAGACACAGAATTGCTTATTAACCGGCGGCTAGACACCGTTCTCCCGATGTCTCCGTATACGTAAACGTAGGAGACCCATAATTAAACGCACTAAAATTTCACTGCCGGCACAAAAGGAACGATCAGCGGCGCTCGACTTAATAAAGCCTCGAAAGCGATCGTGCCTTCGCAGCCGGTATTATGACGTTATTAAAGCAGTTATCACATCGAAAACACGAGAGTATCTCAGCGTCATTATCATCGGCGTTTCGTCCTCGTCTACCTTGCGACCCGGCGTCTGTTCATTGTTCTTCGCCTCGTCTCCGTCGCCTCCGCCGCCTCGCCCATTGGAATTCGTCTTATTCTACGTTCCACCGCGACGCTCCAGACGCGAGTATAGTATTATATTTCGAGGCTGACCTCTGAGCCCAAGATCCGGGCAAGGTTACCAAGTTTATTGCGAGTTTAAAACGTGCTCTCATTTCTCGTGAATCCACCGCCGCGCCGGGATCGGTCTCGGAAAGAATTCTTTCTTCGCGGCCCCGCCGCGCCGCTTTCTTCCCGTTTTGCTCTAACGTTATCGTGGCCCGAGTCGTCGACTCCTCCGCTCTTTAATGCATTTTTATCTTCCACTTAACGAACATCTCCGAGACTTCTGCATCGGAGTTGCCCCATTTCAATTGCGTTATTTCGCTACGAACGGAGATTTAAAAGGTACACGACTTTTATTCACTTGGGATGAGTTATCGATCTCGTTCACTTTTACGCGTTGCTGTTACGACTGTTCTGGACAGACGGAATTAAAGAATACTTTAACCGTCGTCTTCTTTTGTCGAGGATAGTAATTGTATTTTTTCTCAGTTCTCGCAAGCGAAATGTGTCAACTTCGCGAGACTCCTGCGAATGTCAAAACTGCGGTTTTAGTTTGAATAGATCCATTTCGGTTTTACACTATTTTAGATTGGTGCGTATGAAACGCCGGATTTTTAAGTGAATGTATAAAACTGCATATTTTTCTTTCAAAAGCTGTTTATTCAATCAAAATATGCTTCATTTGCCTCGATACGAGAAAAAGAAGAAGAAGAAAGAAATTCTGATCTTTAGAATCAACAAACTCTGATATGGAATTTTTCAGACTGTCTTCATTTTCATACTGTAAAATAATTCATTAATAATTCATTTTCATACCGCAAAAACTCTGTTCTAAATGTTTAAAAAGATGAAAGTCGGTTGGCGAAAGATCCGGCGAATAAGCTGGGTGCTGCAAAATTTCGTATTTTAATCCATTTAATTTCGCAATTGTTTTGCACTATGAACAGTACAACTATAAACGAGGTTACGCCAGAAACAAATGCGTAATGAAGACAAACGTTCGCATGTAAAGAAAATTCGACATTTCATATGCACCAACCTAATATTACTATACTTCTCTTGCTCGAACGACATCGTCGATTCGTAGGCAGCGTAAGACCCCGCGAGGAATATTCGATAAGTCAAATAATACAAATTACATTTTTGCTAGAGACAAGATTTTATAGAAACAGCAACAGCAGTTATGCGAACAAAATATTGGGTTGGCAACTAAGTAATTGCCGATTCGTTCAATGAAATAAAAAATTGTTTTTTACTTGGAACGAAGTTTAATCCGTAATGTATTTTCCATTTTGTTCGACGACCTTTCGCCATCTCTCTGACAACTTGAAAATTCCACGCTCGTAGAAAGTCTGATCCTTTTCGGCCAAAAACTGAGTTAAGCGAGATTTTACAGCGTCATCGTCATTCAAAGTTTTACCACGAAGGGAGTTGTCCAGGGATCGAAATAAGTGGTAATCCGATGGCGCGAGATCAGAGCTGTATGGTGGGTGTAACATCAATTCCCAAGCAATATCCATCAATTTTTGCCGAGTGGACAAAAACGCGTGCGGCCTAGCATTGTTCTGCTGGAAAATGGCACCTTTACGATTGACCAATTCTGGTCGCTTTTCCTTGACCGCTGCATTCAATTTGTCCAGTTGCTAACATTCACGGATAATAAAAAATAACATAATAATAATAATAATAATAATATTATAATATAACATTTACGGATATCATAAAAATGGGAGTGAGAGACATCTATAACTGAAATCGGCAATTACTTAGTTGCCAACCCAATATATTATCAAAACCTCCTCGTTGAGACTGAAGCTAATCCTTTTATTGGTTTCAATATTAACACTATGCCGTCCGGTGGCACCACGCTGGTGCCAT